ACTTTCTGAACGAAAGGTTCAACATATTTTAATATTTTGTATGCTCCATTGGGCTTCGGATTGCACCATCACCTTGTCATTTTATCAACTCAACCTCATCATGAGCATATGCAAGCATCACTAATATGGGGAGCAACCCCAGAGATGAGGGAGATACACGCCGTACATCCATTGTGCACAGTACTGACAGGGTACGCACATGCTTTCACGTATATTATGTACAGCGGACATTGAAAGAAAATAACCGATTAACCCATATGCATATGGTTAACTGTTCGTGTATTCTTAACGGTTACATAACCGGTTAACCTATCTAACCATTTCACCCTAGTCAAAATGGCGCTGTTTGCTTACAGACTACAACTGTATTGCCATCGATCCACACTGATCAATCCAGGAAATGTGCGCATGTTGTACATTTTTAGTGTATGTTTATAGTAGTGTGTCTACTGCATGTGTTTCAGGACTGTAACAGTCACACTACAACAAAAGTCCGACACTCCAGAACAACCCCACACAAAATCCTGTGGTCGACCAGCCAACAAACACAGCTCTGGGTTGAATGACGAATTAGTGAAAAACTATAAAGAGAAAAGAGAGGTGAAAGAGAAAACCACCAACACATCTCCAGAACGACAGAGCCTCACTCTCTCCCTCCCTCCCTCCCTCTCTCTCTCTCTCTCTCTCTGTCTGTGTGTCTGTCTTTGTCTTTGTCTCTCTCTCTCTGTCTCTCCCTCTCACGGCAACTAAAAAAACAACCATATCTCAAACCACACCTCACTCATTTTACGCTGTAGGATGAAGATGAAGGGGAGGTTGGCGATGAGAAGAAGAACACGGCAGGGTTTAAGCATTTGTTGTTCAGTGACCCGTGTCGTTTGGCGTATAATGATTCTCGGTTTACAATTGTAGTATTGTTTGTTTTGCAAAGAATTTCAATCAGTTAAAAGTCATAGATGCTGTTTACATTCACAAGCGTAAGCCAGACCGATGCATTCAGAAAGAACATGTCACGGCATCCACATTCTTTCCTTAGCACCGTAACTGTATTTTGCACATATGTTTGTTTTATTCACCCTCTCTCTTTCTCTTTTCTTACAGTTACACTTGTGTTTTATCACACTATAGAATGACTGCGCATGTATTTTATAGATTGCGATCATTATCACTGTCGGGAAGGAAAACACCAATTTTACAGGGCCCTAAAAGTCTGAACGATACCTATGAAATGCACTGTCAAAGCAAACACAAAATATGAATATGCAAGCTCATGCCTGAGGGGAAGATGAGAAGTTGAAACGTGGAGATTTTTCGGACAGGACGAGAATCCGAAGAACCTGGGTGATTCCCTTACTTCCACAATGGGCTAGTGGCTGCATCACAAAAATTATACCTTGCAGTGGGTGCAGAGACAGATCAATAAACACTAACCTGAGCATGAGAGCTGCTCGTATTCATTGCGATCGTCAGGAAAATGGCAGGACGAACGGACCAGAAGAATGTTGGCTATGACAAACAACTGCATATCCAGACGACACACGGCTTGACTATTTGCTTATGACGTTCAGCTTCGAGGTCCAGCACGATGGAATTTTCGGAAGGAACTGATTTTTGAATTATTTGGGGAAGAAGATTGCACTCAGAAAAGGTACCGTAACTGGTTTCTTCCATTTGAAAAGCTGTTCACCAAAGTCCTAAACATACACTGTACGACGTTTCGGAGCTGCTCCAAATCGATCGATTTGTTTTGAATGGTTTCGCCACCGCTTTCCGATCGATCGATCCTTGCGCGATCTGTCGATCGACAGATCGCGCAAGAAAATCGATCGATTTTCCAAATCGACAGAACGCGCACAACAATTATACAATCATGCTGGGCATGGGGCCCCCACTACCGGTACCAGTGACTACACTTAGTAACCAGGGTAACCGGTACGTGATAAACGAGTGGTCGTCTGGTCACCCCATGGCCCACGTCACGCGTGCACGTACGCGGCCGGCAACGTAGATCTACGTACCTCGCGGCCCGGGCCCGACGTAGATCTGGGACTCTTGCCATGCGCAGTACTATGGCACTATGGGCACACGTACACGTCACAAAGAATAGATGCATATCGATGATCGACGAACGACGATGGTTTTCTTTGTGACGTGTGCCCATAGGGCCATACTAGTAAGTAGTATACAGTCGTCCCTCTCTAATCCGGCACTTTATAATCCAGCACCCTCGATAAACCAGCACAATTTTCAGTAGCCAAAATGTCCTCTTCATGCACATTGCAGCAGTAAATCAGATTTGTTAATCCAGCACCCTCCCTAATCCAGCAGATTTTCGTGGCACAAATGGTGCCGGATTATAGAGGGACCACTGTACTGCAGTAGTCCAGTCCAGGCAGGAGTCCATAAAACCCACTACTACACTAGTCACTATGTCACATGTGTACTCTTGATACTGTACTGTCGGCGATAGGAAAAGGCCCCACGTAACGCGACATCCGGTACGTGTGCCTGTACGGGGGGGGGGGGATTATGCTGTGTCCGGTTACTGTAAAAGCCATAATAATATTTGAAACTCGGATGTTGAGCCATAAATAAATGTAGAAGAAAAATGGACATATGGATACGAGTTAAGAGTAACTCTCCATCACTATTATACAGTCAGAAAGTGCAATAACTACGCACAAAACTGACAGAGTACTGAAACATTCGACGTTCTGACACCTAGCTTCAACACATCTCCGTAGCGCTAACCGACAGCCTTCCAACTTGGAAGGTTCAAGGTTCGGCTTGTACAATTCGTTTTCGCAAAGCTTCCCTTTCTTTACTTATCTTTGATATTTATGACCCACCCAAGTTGGGTGGTGTGCTGCTTTGCTGCTTCGAATTGTAGTTAGAGTCCCGCTTTGTCAAATATCGTACTGGTCTCGTCATCGTCCAGTAACAATCGGCATTCTTTGTTCCGTTGGGACTGTAGCTTTTGCTCGTTTTCGTTGCGCTTGCCTTCCCCTCTTTGGTCTTTCCATAACCTTGAACCTTCCAAGTTGGAAGGCTGTCGGTTAGCGCTACGGAGATGTGTTGAAGCTAGGTGTCAGAACGTCGAATGTCTCAGTACTCTGTCAGTTTTGTGCCTAGTTGTTGCACTTTCTGACTGTATATACATGTAGTATCATGTTACAGTGATGGAGAGTTACTCTTAACTCGTATCCATAATATGTCCATTTTTCTTCTACACATAATAATATTATATAACGAAGTGCTAACTCTAACGAGTAAGCGAGGAGAAATCTGTCGTGAAAATAGAAGTCGTTATACAGAAATCGACACATACATGTAATTAGGGTACCCTGTAAGAAGGCCTGCCCTTAGGCCTGTGGGGATTGCCCTATCAAAAATTTGAATTTGATAATAATAATAATAATAATAATCAACTGTCCTATTGAGCGTTGAGAATAAGTGAGAATCGTAACCTTTGGACCTTTGGTACACGTAAACTATACTAGTCAATTTTGACTTGTCAGTTTGAGCACTCTGGCAAGGTACAGTACGTTCGGGCCTGATTGGAAATTTTCATTTTCATTGCTATCAGGTTCGGCCTCATTTCCTCTGTGCTGCGCTGATGAGTTCTCAAAGAACGAAACAGCATGCTGTCCGCAGATTGAGTACTAGTCAAGTTTGGTGGGGCAGCTTTCCTATCGCCGGCCGGTGGCACTAGTACTAGTACTAGTAGTACGTGTACAGTATTTTAGTAGATCTACACGTGTAGTGGGGTTTTATAGACTCCATGATCCAGTCTACGTCTCCTACACGTAGATCCTGCCATGCGCCAGGACTACTTTTGATTGTATTTGTAGTGCATGCAGTATGCAGCGGTATGGGCACACGTCACAAAGAAAACCATCGATCATCGATGCAACTAAGTATTATTATTAGTTAAGGTTACTTGCAAGGATGGATACTAGTACATGTACATTATATACAGAAGCCTTGCTTGGTAGTTAACATGTTTTTCGATTTTGACAGCATGTTACACGTAGAGTAACGAGGGTCCGAACCTGGGTTTTCCCAATACGGTTCAAATGGTCGCAAGACCGGGACTCTGCCAACCGGTTTATGGTTGTAGTCAGGAGCACTACGCGTCCTCGCCTTGTAACATGCTGTCAAAATCGAAATACATGTACATTGTATTACTATTACTAGTATTAGCAAGAGTACATAACCCCCGGCCGGGGGTTATGTACTCTTGCCTCTTGGTACTAGTACTAGTAGTAGTAGTATGCCATGCCGGATCCCGCGGATCGCGGATGGTATTCTTTGTGACGTGTGCCCATACGCGCCTAGCCTATGTAGTATGACTGTACCATGATGACGTACAGCTAGCTGCTAGAGTGCTAGTACTTACTAGTACTTAGTAGTAGCTTTTTTTCACATAATGATGACGTCACATGTGATCAGAGAGCAAGAGAAGCATAGCATAGACCGCGGGGCAAGGCTCAACGGGACACCATACGGTCCATAGCCTAGGCCTAGCCTCCACGACAGCAGTACAGCCAGGGAGGCACAGCCATCGGGATCGAGGCTGCCAAACCATGCTGCATGCAAACTCGGCGATACGAGCCCCACGCAGCTAGACACACGACAGTGACGACACTCGAACGCAGGATGCAGGGCGAAAGACAGCCTGCATGCATGCAGCGGAGGTGGGCACAGAATACGCCTCCCTCCCACTAGCGACTGGAGAAGTGCGGCTCACCATGTACCAGTACAGTCAGTGCAGCTCATCGAGCTCAGCGGCGCGGCACCCTTGCCTAGCTTGGTCCCTTGCCACATCCTCCGGTGGAAGAGAACACAAGCTGCTAGCTGCAAGATCTACACACCGGTACGGTACGTGTAAACGCGTGGTCGTCTGGTCATGACGTCACCCCACTAGCAGGGTACGTACTACGTACGTGTGCATGCTGCATGTGGCCCCGATGATGTGGGTATAAAATGCGTTTCTGGTTTTCATTTGAAATAATTAGCTTACTTTCTTGTGGAGCACTCAGACTGAATAATTATACTCTTCTATTGACTCTGAATTTGAGCCTTGTTGCGAGCATATAGCACCTGGCCGTCTTCATTAGACTAGTGAATTCAAGAGAGAGAGAGCTAGGTAGCTGTTGCAAAGAGCTCTATCGCAAGTTTGTGCTTTTGCAAAGAAGCAGTACGCGTCTGCAGTCAAGATGAAAGACCCTCCTTCTAGCAAGAATGAGCGAGAATTCATTCTCAAAGCCATTGAAGAGAGAAAGGTAAATCTATCGTTACAGCAGGGTTTATGCTTGTGCGTAACATGTGTCATAATAATTTTTATAGTTTCGATTAGGCCTTTCGTACCATTACTTTTCAAGTCGAATACAATGGTGATTTTAACAAGGCAGCAAGCAAGACCTTATAACCAGCACTTTGGCGGTCAGAGCATTGACAAAATAGCCCTAGAAAGCGCTAGTGCCAGTAGTGGCGCAAACTACCTATTTTTGGCGGTCAGAGCATTGACCAAATAGCACTTTGAAACACCTGATATCGTCACCGGCCTGCCTAAGTGCAGTCTGCAAACATGGCAACCATTCTCACTTCACAATTCAAGCGCGTGCGCGCAAAAATCTCACCTTGCTGTGCTGGAGGCAGAGTACATTGCCAAGCTGAAGCCTGAACTGTGCGTGCAAAAGAAGTATGTGCGAAAGTTGTCGCTGTTTTTCACATTGTAGTACCGTGGTCCCCACTGTTGTTTGATATTACTAGTAATATTCATTGTTTCACTAGCGCTATCTTTTAAAGTGCCATTTTGTCAATGCTCTGACCGCCAAATTGCCGGTTATAAGGATGGTGAGCCAAGGAAAACTGTTCAAAATCTGGTTTACTGTACAAGCAGAAAATTTCGTCGGTCAATAATGTCGTCCAACTCCAAAGAGAGGAGCTTGTCCGGTTGAAAATTTCGTCTGGATCACAAGAGTGTATTGAAAAGCTGGACAAATCGACATTAGTCCGGCATTTAATTTAGTCCAAAAGCTCCTTGGACGAAAAAGACGAAGTTAAATTCCAGACGAATATTTCTGCTTATACAGTAGTTGGGGGACTCGTGCCCACATTTTTCCATGTTACAATTTATGGTTGATAAATATGGTGGTATAGACACACCTGGCAATATGGCGGTAAACACACGCCTGCCCACACACGCTCTCTAGGCTGCAAAGTTCTGGCACAGAGCTGTCCTTCTCACCACCACCACCACCATCAGTTCGCGCCTGGCGCCTAGTCGATGCATGGTTGGCGGTATCCGACATAGCAGGCTTGTACATCAAGTAGCGCATGGCACATAGAAGATGACACAGCAACAGCATAGCTCGATTGCGACATACGTTTCGTCCCCGCTGGACTCATCAGGCAATCTTCTTCTTGGATGTCTTCATACGGAGCTTGACTCCGGATAATAAAGTTGAAGACACCACTGCAGCTGTACTTATGGTTGATAAATATGGTGGTAAAGACACACCTGGCAATATGGCGGTAAACGCACGCTTGCCCACACACGCTCTCTAGGCTGCAAAGTTCTGGCACAGAGCTCTCCTTCTTACCACCACCACCATCAGTTCGCGCCTGGCGCCTGGTTGTGCATGGTTGGCTGCAGTGGTGTCTTCAACTTTAGCATACCAGCCTGCTATGCCGGATACTGCCAACCATGCATCGACCAAGCGCCAGGCGCAACCTGATGGTGGTGGTGGTGGTGAGAAGGAGAGCTCTGTGCCAGAACTTTGCAGCCTAGAGAGCGTGTGTGGGCAGGCGTGTGTTTACCGCCATATTGCCAGGTGTGTCTTTACCACCATATTTATCAACCATAAGTACAGCTGCAGTGGTGTCTTCAACTTCATTCTCTTTGAATCAGGTGACAACATTTGACAAGTATTATTAATTTTGTTCTCATGGCGGCACTTGATGAAGATGAAATGGAGGTATGGGATATATGACATTGTTATCCAATGAACTTTTCCATCCCGTTGTTGTCTCTGTGACGGTGCATGCGAATAATGCTGTTCGTGTGATTTTTTAACTTGTTCCCTTGTGATCAGCGATTGGATGGGCGTGGTATCTATGACTACCGGAAAATCAGCATCAATCTCGGACACGAGCGTGGCCATGCCGAGGTTGCTATTGGAAACACAAGGTACGCACATCTTCTCGGTGTTTTCTTTTGTGTGTGTAACGTGTGATGGCACGGTGCAGCATCACTCTGTCGTGAGTTGTGTGTTCGGGCAGTGCTGAGGAGTGTGTTATGGCGGCTATTGGCACTGCAAGACCGGGCATTGGCTGCAGTCCCTCTCTTGCTGGGTGTCTTGCTGCAGAGGCTGTGCTTCATGTCTTCAAGGAAAACATGGAGGCGTATCCAATTTGGAAAGCAGTGTCCGCAACGACGCAATGCACACAGTCAAGTAAAGACAGTTTCTTGACCGAACGTTTTCGTTTCCTTCTCATTCTGTCTTTAGTAACGATATTCTGTCACTGTATCATCGCTGTCGTTATAGGGTGCTTTGTCAAGTAAGCGCAGAGGTGGTCAAACCGTCCGGAAATCGGCCAACAGAAGGCGTTCTGTATTTCAACGTTGAGTTATCTCCCATGGCGTCCGCATCGTTTGAAGCAGGGAGGTAAGAAGCGCTCTACATGAAGTCTGCATGTGTTCATAGACAACACACTCAGTGTATGGATACTGGCAAGAGTAGTTAGAGTACAGAAACCAGAGTGTGCAACTCAGGATGGTTCCTGTGGGAGCGTATTCCATGCAGTACGTAAAAAACCCAAAAAAACGTCATTTCTGACGGTATGGTAAGTCACGTGTACGGTGAAAAGTTGCGTAACCAGTCGTCGTGGTGGTGCAGTTCACTGAGTTTGTCCTGATTTTGGCTTTTTCGCTACGGATAGCCTGTTGAATTTACTTGCCAGCGGATGTATGCAGCGCACGCAGTCACACAAAACCACCGAACTCCTAAAACAAGACGTCTAAAATCAGGCAAACTTTACTGATTTCCGGGCTGTGAAACACAAAAATTTGAGCTGTACGCAAGTCGCGACTTGGCTGACCTGATCAGGGTGGCGTAGTGCACGAACTGCGCTGTTTCAGATCTAGTATGCACCTGATATGCACAGTTGCACACTCTGGTTTATGTCCTCGTGATATTGGTACTAGTAGTTCTTGTGTGTGTGTGTGTGTGTGTGTGTGTTTGTGTTTGTGTGTGTGTTTGTGTGTGTGTGTGTGTGTGTGTGTGTGTGTGTGTGTGTGTGTGTGTGTGTGTGTGTGTGTGTGAGTGCGTGTGTGTGTGTGAGTGCGTGTGTGTGTGTCTACTGCCACAGCATTATAGAGCTCTTGCTTGATAGGCCTCTTGGTTTCTCATCACTCTGCGTGCAATTTTTCCATGTTCTATCTGTACTTGAAGGAGTAACTTCCAGCACACACAGCCGCGCTAAGTCCTTTGCTAAAACTTTTTTTTATAATTTATAAATTCACGGTTCGTGTTAGACTCGGCTGGAGGCCGCTCCAGCCGAGTTTTCCGCATCCGTAGGAACACCACCACCCTGTATGGGTCTAGTGGTCCTTGGCTACACCTTGGCTACAGGAAAGAAAGAAAAATAAGGACGTTTAGCAATGCGAAAGTTCGAAAGAAAATTCGAGTCTGGGAATGAGTACAGAAAAAAAAGCTCGAAACTTCGAAAACGTGGACGCGAAGTTGCAGTGATTTGCGAAAGTAACTTTCTCTTTTCTCGGTACGCATTTGACTACAGGGAGTAGTAATTTTACAGCCCCTGCTTGAGACTGAGCTGCATATACCGTACGGTACTATAAGAATCAAATAACTTCAAAAAAAAAAGTCATTTCGCATTGCTAAACCTCACAAGTTTTCTTTTTCGAAACAGATTTTCGCGAAATATCACCACGACAAAAAGTTCGAATTTTCGCATTGCTAAACGTCCGTATTACCTCTCCAAATCTGGCTGTGTACGCTGGAAATTACGATCATGACGAGGGTACAGAGGGGTTACGCCATTCTCATCAATTTATTCTGCATGTTCTCTTGTTGCTGCTGCTGTTCCTGTCCCTGTCTTCAATGGCTTCTGTTCCTGTGTCGTGTCTTTCAACGGCTTTTTTTAGGAGTTCTCCACAGTCCGTGCAACTCTCTCGGTATCTGGAGCACGCGGTGAAGGATAGCGGCGCCGTGGATGTCGAGACATTGTGTATTCTCGCTGACGAGAAGGTACATTTTTATTTTATTTTTTTTATTTCACCGTCCAATGGCAGTACATGTGAAGAGGTAGTCGAATGCAAAACCCGCTAAATCCGCTTCATCACTTCCGAAAATTGCCCAAAAAGGATTTACTTTATGTGCAGTTGTATCTGAATCCAAATTTGGGTCCCAGTTTTGAAATGGTTCTAGTCAGATTTTGAATGAGACAAATTGACTGGTGGTGCCCCTAGACATTTTGAGAAAATCTGGTTTTCGACATAGACCTTTTGAGTGCACTGAACTGAAAATCTGTGTATGTTGTTGTTGTTGTTGTTGCTATTGTTGTTAGGTGTGGTCAATCCGTGTAGATGTACACGTGTTAGATCATTGTGGAGGTCTAGCGACGGCATGTTCAGTGGCAGCCATTGTAGCGTTATCACATTTTAGGTAAGTAACCTGTTGCTGCTGCTGCTGCTGCTGTTGCTGCTGTTGTTGCTGTTGCTGCTGCTGCTGCTAAAAGGTGTTTTATTGAACGCACAAACCAGTGATGCTGCTGCCACCACTACCGCCGCCGATGTTGCTGTTGATGTTTCTTCTGGAAGTAAAATTGAGGGGCTGTTTGAAAGCAATTTGCATTATGCACACACACACACACACACGAACACACACACACACACACACACACGTGTTTAGAATTGATGGAGTAGTTCCCTGTAATTGAAAACTCTGGACGGTGCAATCCTATCTCTACTGCTAGTATGAGATTATTTCTGTTGAGTACGGCCCTTTCGCCAGCAATAAGACAGTTCATTCTTGCTCTTTCAATGGCACTAATAAAGACAGTTCATTCTTGCCGGTGCGTGTGTGTGTACGTGCATGTGTGCGTTTGTTTGCATGTGTGTGTGTGTGTGCATGCGTGTGTGTGTGTGTGCATGCATGTGTGTGTGTGCATGTGTGTGTTTGTTTGTGTATGTGTGTGTTTGTGTGTGTATGTGCATACACAATGCTCTACAGACATCCCCATGCAACCCTTGTCGGCGAGGAAGTGACAATAGTAAGTGTACTGGCATGGCATGGCCATCTTTTCCCCATTTCTTTCTACATGTGTATGGGTCACGCAGGAGGAGCTGTGTTGCAACTCCGAGTTTCACCTAGTCCCGATCATCAGGCAACTGAGTACATCACCTACTTGATTATGTGTGCACGCGTTACTTGTAGCCGAACCTCTCTAGCATCATTGCATGCTTGTCTCCGAGGAGACTCTGAATGGCTCTCGTATCGGTATTTGCGATGTCTTTGTTGCTACCCGGGAACCGGCTTATTAGTACTCCGCCGATTTCCACGCAAATCAGTGTAGTGCTCGGAGGGTGTTGACTGATAGCAACCTGCGTAAAACCTCTATAGGCAGGAAGGTACAGGAACAACTTGAAATGAGTCGCAGGCTACACCACTGTAGCAGCACTTACCGTACCGTGCCATCACTGGATATGGTTAGCAGTTTACTGTTCACGCTAAATTCAACTGTACTCGCACCCAACACCCAAAATACCGTCGGTGTGGTATCGTTTCGACAATAGAAAGCTCTAGAACGGAACGGTAAGATTCCGACTAGGGTTACGTCACAAGTCAAGCGTGTCGAAAACCGAAATGCTAACCATGTCTTGAAAGCACGCCAAAAACGGTACAGGCGGACGGTCGAAGTTAGCGTGAACGGCAACATGCTAACCATGTCTACTGTTCGAATGAATCCCCCCCCCCCCCGGTACGTCACTATAGCAGTACCTAGCGTGTTAATTTTAAAACCTGTTGTGCTGTTGTTCTTTTGCCGTTGTTCTCTCTCTCTCTCTCTCTGTCCTGTGTATAGCACAGTGAACAGGACCACCCACCAGTTCCCCTCAAAATTTATCACATGCCGATCTGCATCGCCGTCGCTTTCTTCCTGGATGGGTAAGACAGCAGTGAGTGCGTTCGATTCTCTCTCAACTCTCTCTCTCTTTCTCTCTCTCTCTCTCTCTCTCTCTCTCTCTCTCTCTCTCTCTCTCTCTCTCTCTCTCTCTCTCTCTCTCTCTCTCTCTCTCTCTCTCTCTCTCTCTCTCTCTCTCTCTGCGATCTGATCACTTATCTTTCCTATAATTTCGTTGTTGTTGCTGCTGCTGCTGTTGTGATTATCAGGAAATACATGTTACTGGATCCCTCATGGCAGGAAGAAAGAGAAATGGACGGTTCGCTAACAATAGGAATGAACGTTCATCGCGATGTGTGCCTACTCTCCACGTCGGGAAAAGTACCGCTAACAAAAGAACAGGTACTGTGCTGGTGTTGTGTTGTATTTAGGGGTCAAAGGGGTGTACCGGGTACCCGGCCCCTAATCTCGGGTTAGGGGTCAAAGGGGTGTACCGGGTACCCGACCGCTAATCTCGGGTACCGTTAGTGAAAGGGTACCCGTTTGGATTTTGATGAACCAGTCAGTACGGAGCTACACTGCTGGGATCGTGTATTCCAGGTGGGAGTCAATTATTTACAACTCCACGCTGGATGTGTGCATTGTTGTTGCATTTTCGCACCTAGTAGAGTTACTCCTGCGACTATCAGACACCAATCGATTTGCGAATCACAATGTGATATCAAAAGGCAACCCGAGAACAGATGAATTAAAATCTTGATTTATGTGAAAATTGCGCGAAAAATTAAACATGGCTGCTAAAGGGTACCCGTTAACCCGCCCGTTAAGAATACCCGTTCGTTAGTTAAAGGTACACCCGTTTGACCCCTAGTTGTATTTATTCAACATTTCCTGGCTCGTCAAACGACTGCCAATGACAAATGAATGTGAAATGGAGGGTGATGGCCAACCACGGCATTGTTATTATTAGGGCTGAAACAATTATACCGATAACTCGCATATCGATCGTTAAGAGTGCAATCGATAATCGTTAATGTTCAAAACGAGTGCTAACAATTTTTTATGCATGCATATCAGTGACGGTATTCTAGTGCCACTCCATCTGATAGTGAATACGAGTGCAATCAGGTACTTTCAAGCGCTGTAAAATTGATGTGTGGCTTTGAAAGAGATCGGCGGAGAAGACGTTGCCTTTTTCGGTTCATTTGTGGGAGAAGTCGGAGATTCGAGCAGTTGCCAGAGGGTGATGACAAGATTCTTCGCTCTAGAAACAACATGAATGTTGATAAAACCAGCCAGATATCTACAGATGTCAACAGTGCGGCTCCACAAATTTCTAACGTAGCAAAGGCATCGTAGAATTTCTTCATAAACCGGTGTTCGATAGAGCCGACAAGAATCGATAAAACCAATATATCGATCGTTAGTGATATTGGTTGATCGTTAGGAGTTATTGAATGATCGTTTCAGCCCTAGTTATTATTCATGATGCTGTGAAACTGTTATTATTCAAGTTGTGAAATTGTATGTGGTAACCATGGCAATGCAGGCAGTGCAATGTTCACACACTGAGTGGACATGGGTTCAAAGTAGTGCAGTGCTGCTATGTATGAGCCTGTGCTGTACTGTGGGAAATGTTCGTAGATCTACGGAAATGATTTATCATGCTGAACATGGCACACAAACAGGGTCCCAACCCCAAACGAAAACTTTTCGTTTTGAAAATACTACATGTATTATATTGGTAACCTTGTACGGCCCCTTACTGGTGGGCACTTGACACCATGCAATTCATAGTGGGGCACCCTGTAAGAAGGCCATCGGTCTGTGGGGACTGCCCAAGTAAAATATGAATAAATAATAATGACAATACTTACAAGTATTTGAATTTCACTGTATACTCAATGCATAGAGCAGGACCACATTGACTGCACGTCGTCGCTGTGGTGTTTGTAGTGGCATTGACTGCACGTCGTCGCTGTGGTGTTTGTAGTGGCATTGACTGAGATATCATCATGCCTGACTGACACCTGGACAGAGAAGAAGTCCAAGCTGGAAAATCAGCCGCAGGCTTGGCACTCCGCTGAGCTTCGGTCTCTGGCACTTCAAATGTTGTCACGTAGGTTGCTGCAGAGGCAGTCTCTCGCTGACATTGCAACGATCCGTTTTGTTCTCTTTCGTCTGTGCCACTCTGGTAGATAATGCGCTGCACGCAGGTGGCCTCGGTGAAAGTGGCTGAGATGACCGAGGTCATCAAGAAAGCTCTGGCTGAGGAATCCGCCCCAAAGTGAGTTACAAGTATTTATCTCTCAAGTTGTTCAATGTAGTCACATGCATTGGGGATCCGAACACTAGCCCATGTGTATTACTTGTATGTTATTATCGACATGTTGGCGCTGCATCGCTTACTGTACTGTATAATAGGGTTGGGTGTACATGTACTAGTAAGAATACCGTATTTCCCCGTAAGTTAGTTCTCCCCAATGACTTAGTACTCCCCTATAAAAAATACACTTTCCACTGCCGAGTTTATCACCCCGAAAGACAGCCCCCCCCCCCCCCCCCCCCGAAAGATAGTAAGTTCGTACCCGTCCTACATGTACAGACACCGTACAGTACATCTTTACTTATAAAGAAGAGGCACCTGTGACGTGTGTCTGTGTGTGTGTGTGTGTGTCATGCTCCTTATAAAGTAGTGTTGAAACGATCTCACCGGATACTCGTTAGCTCGCTCGCCAGAAACTCTGCTCGTTTGTGCGGCCAGCTCGTTTGCACTAACGAACACCGTACACCGTACTCCGTACACATGGCAGTACATGTCGACTGGGGAGTCGTAAAATATTTTACGACTCCCTGGTCGATCGAGAGTCCAGTCCCGCGCAAAGTGAAAATCACTCGCAGTTACGGTGACTGTATGCCTGCACGACATTTGAGTTGTTTCAGTTGTCGTTGCAGCTTTCGTGGACTCTACTGATGTCTTGTTCCGCATCTGCTGACCTGTCGCAGGATATGCTTCGGTCACCTCTCCATTCGAGTGAAAGTTACGCTCAGTCGTTTGGAAGTTTTCTCCCGCGATGCAGCGAAGACCAGGGCTACTTGCAATCTTTGCAAAACGGTCTATTCTTACAAAGGCTACTCAACGACGGCGCTGAAAAGACATCTCGACACCAAACAGCAGTCCGAAGTGAAGCAGCAACAATCCCAAATGCCGGCGGTGATGATTTGTACCAGCTGAAAAAAATCTAACTTAGAAAAAAAATTCAAAAAAACATATTTGCCACATCAATGAAACTCGTTAGCTCGCTCGATAGCTTGCTCGTTAGTGGAACCGATCGCTCGTTTGTTATAGATACGCTCGTTTCAACACTATTATAAAGAAGAGGCACCTGTGACGTGTGTTTTTGTGTCACGCTGAAGCGCTGCGGAGCAGCGCTGCCCTGAGCACGCGAAGCGTGCGAACAGTGTAGCACAGTGTAGCTAGCGGCCGCAGAAGCACTGAGCACGCGAAGCGTGCGAATCGTGTAGCTAGCGGAAGCAGCCACAAGCTACACAAGCACTGAGCACGCGAAGCGTGCGAATCGTGTAGCCACCACCACGTGCTGAGTGCGAACAGTGTAGGTGGTAGCAGACACGATCAGTACGAGTAGCAGTAGCAGCCGCGCGCAGAAGCACTGAGCACGCGAAGCGTGCGAATCATGTAGCCACCTAGCCTAGGCCATAGGCTATAGGTAGCACTAGCAGCCGCACAAGCGCTGCGGACCACGTGAACCGTTCTCTGCAAATAGAAACATCTGCAACAAAAGGATACAAAAGATCTGCACTGACTGCACTCTGCATCTGATCTGCAGTGAAGAGCGCGCGCATCGCACTTTTGTTCGTAAGTTTATGAATTTTTTGAGCCGCTTCATCCGCCACCAGGTGATGGACAACCCTGACCAGCCTCCCGAAGGCGTAACAGACGTCCCTCCTTCTCCTTCCAACGATGAAGAACCTCCCTCGCCAGGACTTCAGCGGTCTGGCCACCACCACGTGCTGAGCACGTGTGCTGTTCATGTACTTGCTTCACCCGCATGCCACATTCGGCCAGGCAACGCTGGCCGGTGGTGCTGCTAGTACATCATATGCACGGACACTAGAGTTGCGCAGGCTTCCCACTGCGTGTCATTTACCCCCGATAAAAAAGTACTCCCCGAAAGATAGTACCACCCCCGAAAGTTAGTACTCATGTGGCTGCTAAGTTCGAAAGTTCGTACGTACTAACTTACGGGGAAATACGGTAAGCCTGATGGCGAGTAGAGTGATGCTGTGGAAGTAGAAACTTGCGGTAAGATATCAGTTGTGCAAGCAGCTCTAGGTCCCTGTTCATCATGCACTTGCAGAGACAAGATAATAGGAGTAGGTTATGGAAATAAAAACTTCTGGTATGACATCAGGAGTCCAACATATATTTCTTCTCTTCTTCTTTTTGCCTGACAACTGTTTGGTGTGCTCTCAATCTATCTCTCTCTCTCTCTCTCTCACTCACTCTCTATCTCTCTCTCTATCTCTCTTTCTCTCTCTCTTTCTCTCGTTTCAGACAAGAAAAGGAGTCAACACCGATGGAAACTGATTCCTCCATATTGACTGCGTCGCGTCAACAAGAGTCCGTCACGTTACCACCAAAGTCAGAAAAGCAGCCCTCTGCCTCTCGCTCTACTAAGAAAAAGAAGAAAGCGGTGGATGTAGTCTCTCTGGTTAGTAGACTGTCAGGGGATACGCCATAGTCTCTGTTTCATGTCAAGTCGTCCATATGAGCTGACGAGTTCCTCGATACGTGTACTCAGCTATTCAGTTTATGTTGAAACGTGAAATGTGTACTGACGCTCGTTGATATTGTCCATTTGTGTTTGTAAGACATGTGACTGACAGAATGCGACCAATTGTACTTCCTATAATTTTAGTCTGTGATGTCGTGTGTGTGTGTGCACATGTTTATGTGTACATGTGCATGTGTATGTGTGTGTGTGTGTGTGTGTGTATGTGTGTGTGTGTGTTATTGTACATGCCCACATGTGTATCCACAACAACGCAGGCTAAAGATACAGCTGGTATTGGCCTGGGTGGCAGCAGTGCCTGGTCAGACAACGATGACGTCACAGTTGACAGAACACGAAGAAAACAAGTACAACAGAAGAAGGTAGAGGATGGTAAGTTGCGGGTTGTCACCATTGTCTATGATGTCGTAGAAAACGAGTGGTGTCTATGAAAGGCACATCCATGTAGCTCGGTCTCTCTGCCTCTCTATCTCTCTATCTATTCATCTGTCTATCTACAAAGGAGTAATTTTGGCAATTGCCGGAAAAATGCTCAATGCAGAAAGTGCAGAGCATTTCACTATCTATCTAGTATCTCTCTCCCTCTCTCTCTCTCTCTCTCTCTCTCTCTCTCTCTCTCTCTCTCTCTCTCTCTCTCTCTCTCTCTCTCTCTCTCTCTCTCTCTCTCTCTCTCTCTGCTTTTCTAATTCTCATTATGATTAGCATGCAATGTACTACCCGAAGTACTGAATTTACTTCTTCTGTACTCTATATTCTAATGTATCTTCTACCTCTTCTCCCTTACGAACATACTTTCTCATTTTCCATACTTACTTAGGAGACTCACGGCTGTTCGCGCACGGACATCTAACAATATGGAGTCGTTCGGTGCGATTTACGTAACGCGGTGCAAACCTCATGAATACGATGGGAGTTTGCGTTTTGGGATGAAACTCATGTCACTCTCCGTGTGGTTCAACGATTTCGCAAGTCAAACCAGGATTTATTATTTGAAAGCGCTCGAGCGAGATACTCAATATCCAGACAATTTGAGAGAGAAGGAAGGTAAAAGGAACTCCTGCCGTGGTCAACCAGCATCCTGACCTTTTCGAACCTCTCCAAGCTGTCCCTGGTAGTCTGGATATTGACGCACGCACTGATTTTCAGCTTCTCCTCGTCGGGATCACGGGTGCAACTTTCAAATTTGCCGATATGCACTCGAACAAACGCACAATTGGATCTACATCACAATTTCGGGGCTATCTGTGTGCTTGCTGCCTTTTTCAGCAATACCCCACATGTTTACAGGGCAGTTTCCACCAGGTCTCGGCCTCCTGGACTCAACAGCGACTCCAGCGCCATGCCATCTGTCCCCTAAATTGCATGAAAAGGTAGCTCAGCATCGAACGCACGGGACCTGAAGTTTGTGCACGGCCCGTGATAAAACTTGGTGAAGATAGCCAGAAGATAGTCCTCTGCCTAGGAAAACTGAAAGCTAGACTGGGAAAACTCCTGAAAGGGCTTCTTGACGCAGGCATGTCAACGATGAATCAGGGAACGAGCGAGAAAGAAGGCTTGACTTGTGCAACGCGGAACAAACTGTTCCTGAGACGAAGTTGGCCATATGAGGTACCAGCGGAAAGCTAGTTTCAAGAGGAACACGGAATACCTGTTTTCCGGGTAAACCTGGCCTGGTAGCTTTCTAAATCGAGCGAAAACCACAGCGAAATCGGCTGCTGAGAATTTGAAAATTCAAATTTCCTTGCCGATCCAGCCCAATCGAGACTTTTGGCTGCCATCTTGTTAAATGTCCAAATTTCGCGAAAAAAAACAGCCGTGGACTCCCTTCGATAGGCATCTATTTGCCTCTGGAGGATCCGTGAAATAAAAATCAATCAATCAATCAATCTCTCTCTCATTCTGTCCATCTGTCCATCTACGTATCTAGTATCTCTCTCTTTCTCTCTCTCTCTGTCTCTCTGCCGTACTCGTTTCCTCTTTTTAAGACATAAAAACAGTTTGTTTGGTAGACAGGTTTTGAGGAAGAGCTTTAGTTCAGATGGCACAGTTCCACTCTACGTATGGTCATGTGTGTGTGTTGTTCTGCTCAGGCGATAATGACAGTGGAGAGGAGGAGACAATCGTGTTGACTGGGGAGAGCTTTTGATATTTGCGTTCATATAATAATTATAAGTTTTGTTTTTTTCACGGTTGAGCATAGCGAAAGAGTGCTACTTGATATTCTATGCCAATGTGTGTGGCTTATGATTATGGCATGCACTGGTTATTACATACCATTTCTTGCTGTCTCTATTCTTGGGTCCGACTGGCAGCGGGGCAGGAATTAATGAAATAGAAAGGTTTTTTGGTCGAAAGGCGTGTTTTTCCTCTAGCCCGGTTGAGCGGTCGCGGCTAGGAATGTAGGGAGTCATTGTTTTCAGGCGCTCCCCTGCTGCCCAGTCACCCATGCTCACCACTGGCCATGCTGTTTCACTTGATTTTACCGCCTTTTCTCCCGCTTGCTGGCGGTTCTTTGATGAGATTTAGATGTTTTTCGGCTATTTATCCATTATTAAGTGGCTGCGAGTGTGGTTTTTTGCTTCTACTCATTTCTGGAAAACCACTACGATGGTGAGTGTGATTGCTCTGGTAGACCACTACCGTAACCCCATGTACTGAACAGTTGCTTAGTGAGTGAAAACTATCTGAATGTGTATCTCGGTCTCTTGAATGTAGTGATCCACCAATCCGTGTGACCCTGTTGAAGTTCTAGTGACTAGCATGGCCTTAGCTCTAAAGCAGCTGCAAGAAGGAAGGGACACGTCCTTGGCATCACTTTTCAAGTACAGTAGGTATCGGTTATAGCGTGGGTGTTTGAAAAACGACATTTGATTCTTGTTGCCGATATTTCTTACACACGATAAATCACGTGTGACATATCATATGCACGTGTGACATAATACACGTTTGGCATGTGGACACGTACAATCATGTAGGTCTACACAATCATGATACACACGGATCAGACTCGCGGTCGTGCTAGGCGACTGCGGAGCAGCAGATAGGAGAGAAGTCGGAAGAAAGAGTCCGACTGGACAGAAAAAGTGATTCTCCAATGCTCAGTTGGACATAACTCTCTTTTTGTGTTGAATATTATTGTATTGAGCATGCACAGAGCACAGATGTTATTACTACAGGCGATACACTTTGCACTAATCTGGCATATTTTGCTACACAAAATCCATTCTTAGGGCCGATATATTCTACTATGCGATAATACTGCTTGTAAGAATAAATATACACATAAAATAGGTGTTATGATTATGAAAAAATGAGTGTTCATTCTTGTAGGCAGTATATTCTTGTATACGACCACACTATAACCGATACGCACTGTACATGCACACACGGGGGGGGGGGGGGGGGGCTGTAGCACTCGGGTCAGGCTAGCACACTGTGTAAATTCATTATCTGTACCGGCGAAAAACCCCTGAAATGTGTGTGTCTGACATGAATTTGGCATTGCAACATGCCTCTGAAATGAGGTTGAAATAATAATGGAACAGTCTCCAATAAAGGAACGTCTCCATTAATAGCGCGGGGCGGAGAGGTACATTGAAAAAATAAAGGACCGTGCTTATATTAGAGATAATACGGTACCTGCTGACCCTGAACTAATGCCAAGAATACTCTGATATTTACATTTTGCAAGTGTGCGTAAATCGTCCCTGCCCCGGAGTCAACGGAACGGGTAGCCTTGGTGCAAGCCCCACATCCCTTCCGGCTCCAGCCACCCGTGTCTTCTCCCTGGACACTCATACATGATGTACTGGCATAGTATGTAGCAAGCTGATTGTGAGAACAGTGAAGATGAGATACAGTAGAGTCGTGCGCTGAAGAACGCACAAGAACGTCCAACCTGAAATGCCAAGAACGCCACAGCCTAAAGTTTTAAAAGAAAGGCGGTGTTGGTTTTCCGGCAGCTTTTGGGATACATATGATCCAGCATGAATTGTTTCTAAGAATGTGCTATAAGAACACAGCCCGATTGCTGAAAAATAAGAACGCCCCGGGCTTGACCCTTGGAAACTTGGAAACAACGTTCTTGGACACGTGACTCTACTGTACTGCTAGCAAGTGACTTTGGTTAGAAGCAACGACTTCATCTCAATAATCGTATGAACTTTAAGATAAAGAAAGTACTTCAAGCGGCTCCCCTCTTGCCTATAAAATTATCACTAAAGTCACTACCGCTATTCGTAATAATGAAAGTATGAAATAAAAGTAAGGCATGGACTATACTGCATGTAGCAACTAATACTTGCGTGATCAACTTTGCCGTAAAACAAAGTCGTGGAAATTAAGCAAACGCTGTGCGGTGGAATGACTAATAAAATTTGGCGTGTTTTCGAGGGAAATTTGTATAATTGTCTTACATGTAATACTAATGCAGTCATGCACGTCTCGCTTGAACATTCACTATCAAGTACAATCAAGTGCATGTACAAGCTAGATCATCATCACCGGCACTGCAGGAGCAGCACCAGTACTGCAGTAGCAGCAGTGACAGCATTGGTCTGTGCATTCAATAAAACACATTTTCAGCAGCAGCACCAGCAGCAGCAATAGCCTAGTGGGTTTTGGTCTAAACTCAACAGCACAGCATAACCAGCACAGCATGATTAGCACAGAATGACCAGCACTAGCACACACTCTCAGCAGTGCAGCACGACCAGCACAGAATGAGTCATTGACTAGCACTAGCACACATCCTCAACAGTGCAGCATGACCAGCACAGCATGGCCAGCACTAGCACATACTGTCAACAGTGCAGCATGACCAGCACAGTATGGTAAGCACTAGCACTAGCACATACCCTCAACAGTGCAGCATGACCACATCACCTGTTCTCAGTGAGTGCTGCACGGTTGTACTACTAGTCCCTGCTCTTAGTGACAGTTTCCACACGTTGGGGTGCATTTCCGGCCACCGTTGGCACGACAACCACAACCACCACTCGTATCACCATTGCCCTGCAATAAATTACCATAGTAACAACAACAACAACAACAACAACAACAACAACAACAACAACTCTTATTGGCCACAGGCAATCGTGAGAATAGAAAATATCATGGCAACAGGAACAACCGAACGTGCTTTGTCGAAATTTTGTTCACACACTTCAAAAGTGCAGAAAGTGTACTTGTACAGATCCAACGCGCTGTCTCCTTAAATGGAGGCAGGACATATGTGCAGGGTTGAAAGCAAGACATGTATGTACAACTGAGTAGGACGGGTGGCCAAATTTTCCAACACTTTGAAATCCTCCGTGAAGGCCAAATTTGAAAATGTGTGCACGGTTGACTTACATTAGGACCCCAGCGTGGACCCTTGGTTGCCCAGCACAACTCAGTCTTGCACATCAAGCATCTCATCCAATCACAGCCGGACGCTTTCTGCACGATGACGTCACACTTGGGGCAGTGCATTGCTTCGTTCTGACGCACCAGGTTCTGTACGGAAGTGTTTGAGACATTGCACACACACACGCACACGCACACGCACACACACACACACACACACACAACCATTGTTGTTCATAAGCTCCATGCGTCTGCGCCTACAGAAGGCATGCATGTGTAAACCGCACAAACTGGAAAGCTATACCCGACATTCACGCACAAATATGCATGTCATGTTCTAGTAAGTGCAGTAAAACCTGACAAGGCGACCACTCGGATAAGACGACCACCTGTCCTAGAAGACCACTGAAACCAGGACCGAGGGATGCTACCCTGTATTTCCAGTAAAATGACCCTGGATGAGGAGACCACCTGGTAACAGAGACCACCTTGTGAAGGTCCCTTGAGCGGTCGTCTTACACAGGTTTAACTGTAGTACGGTGCTCAACAAAACCGGCTGAGGGGTCTCCATTTGCCAGATCGTTCAGGGCTATCACAGGGCGGCAAGGAGTGGTAAGACTGGGGTGTCCCCAGGGAGAAAAGATTCGGATTTTTCGGCCAACACACGTTTTAGCGCTTTTTATTGCTTTTTTGGATGAAGCTAGGCGGACGATCCTCTGGGCGAAAAGTGGTACAACCCTGGTCATACTGGTTGTACCGTGTGTGACGCCCCTGGACGTTTACCACATGACCAGGGCATATTATTGCTGTGTTCGGAGCCCTCAAAGCTCCCGCTTTTGACAACAAGACCCTGCCGCTTCGCAGCAAGAAGCGTGTGCATGAGGCTGTCGTCCTCACGGCCCTCTTGTATGGTGAGGAGACATGGACCACCAAGGCAGGCCACCTCCAGAAGCTAAACACATTCCACCACCGGTGTGTTCGGTCCATCGTGGGTATTGGCCGTCGTCAAAAGTGAGATTAGCGAATCACAACGGTCACACTGCAGTAACCGCTACAGTCGGAGTCGATCCTGACATCACCAGCATCATACGTCGCCACCGTCTTCATTGCCTGGGTCTTGTTGGCAGGATGGACGACTCGCGCATGCCGAAACAAGTGCTGTTTGGCGAGCTGCCTGCCCCCATCCTCGTCACGGCCCGAAGAAGAGGTGGCGAGATGTGGTGTTGACTGACCTGGTGGACCTCGCGTGACCACCTGGCTTGAGAGTTGCCAAGATCGTCTCAGCTGGAGACGAGTTGCGAGTAGCACTCCACCGCAACGGCCCGCTCCTGATCCTCTTCTCTGTGCCCGTGGACGCCCGTTTCATCGACCAGGAGACCTGAAACGGCATGCCAAATTCTGCGCTCGCGCTCTCACTTGAACTTCTTTCCGACATTCGCTACCAGTGCGCACGCAATGGGCAAGATCAAGGTCAAGGTGTCCATGCGTCATGCTTACCTCCAACATCTGCTGGGTGGCCTGTGCAGCCTCATCATTAGCCGCTTTGATCTTCAAGTCTTCTTGGTACTCCTTGCAGTTCATGGGCTTGTGGATGGCCTTGCACATCAGACAGTTCTCATGACGACAGACCTACAGACAAAAATACGATGGCCAGTGCACATACAGAAAAACCTGTAACTAAAGACCACCGTGACTAGCGACTAGCCTGGTACTACTTGAACAGACCACTTTGCCAGGTACGGACGGTCTCACATTCATATATTATGGTTGTGCGGTGCAAACCTCTAACTAAGGACCACCTGCCACTAAATACCGCTTTCTCTGGTCCCAAGGGATTGTCGTTAGTCACAGGTTTACTGTACTACGGTGCTGGCAACTGAAATCCGACCCCTGAGCGGTGGGTTCACATTCTAGCGGTCTCTGTTTCGTAGTTTTACCATCCCGTGTTGGGTCTTTGCGATGTGAGCGCACCTCTCAGGGGGTCGGATTTCAGTTGCCAGTACTGTAGTAGCACATAGTATTGTCCTCTAATTCGGCAAGGCACTGGGATGTGAATTACATCACTCCAACATTAGCACATGAAGAAAACTACTTCGAAGTCACTACAACGCAACCGAGACGAACAGTCCGACTGACAAACAAAGGAACTCTCGACCGCTACATCACGCATGCTCATGTTGTATCCTAGCGCACGCGGCTAAACAAAGACAATACTGGGAGTATCCTCACAATGAAAATTGAAAAGCATCGGGTTGTTCTAACAAGAGGATGGTTGGTGGGGGGGGCTTGTAAAGTACGTTTGTCGCATGTGAAAAGTACTTACATCGCACTTGAAAGTCTCAACGTCATCTTCATACATACACCATCCAATACAATCAGGTGTCTTGCAGTGATAGCTGTTGTCAGCTTGTTGCTCTGCTACACGTATACCACGGCCCCACCATTGATGTATGGACTCACCCAGTAGCTAACAACAACAACGACGACGACAACAACGACAACAACAGCAACAACAGCAACAGCAGCAACAGCAACAGCAGCAGGAGCAGCAGCAGCAGCAGCAACAACAACAGTGGCCTTGTTACGGATTAGAGAGACAAGTTGTGCAATGCTGGTGGTGAGTCCAATATTCACATACGTGCACGCACACGTGTGTGCACATACATACACACACATACACACACACATACACACACACACACACATACATACGTGAGAATCGCGGCATGCAAGGTCTCAATAAGAGCCGTGACTCACTTCACGAATCTCCCTCTCCGTGATGCTAGCGTCACACTTGACGTCATCCACTACACACGGACACTTGACGTCGGCATCTTCGGAGATTTTAATGTGCTGACGAAGACATTCCCTGAACACACACACACACACACGTGACACACACACACACATTATGAAAACAGGCAATCAGTATTGTCCCTGACTTCAGAATTCCTTGCGGTGCTGTGCCGTCTGAGGAGCACTTCTAACGAAAAGCCTTAACATTACGTTCTGCGTTACCAGTAACTGTTACAGAGAGGGAACTTTGGTCAGGGTTACCATGGTTACACGCCTGGTCAGGGATACACGGCTGGATGTATAATCGGTGCATATAAACTGACCCCGGACAAGCACTCTCGTTTTTTTTTTTTTACTACTGTGCATGGGGTGTAGAAATATAGGAAGATAACGAGATCAATCACACAACCTGTACAGTACCAATCATGCACCATGGCGCTACACGAGTAGTGCAGTAGTGCCATGGTGGATAGCAAGTAGGCTGGATCTCGCAGAGACAAGCACTGTTAGCCGTGATTGTTTGGATGCCGGGACCAGCACCAGGACTTGAAGTGCAGAGTAGTTGCTTGGACCACAGGGGCCAGCCGGCTGTGGATTGTGATCACTTGGACCCCGTCACGTGTGATCAGCCGCATGATTCACGATGAAATGCACAGTACAGTAAGATCGGGCGCCGAAGAACGCAGGGGCTCGAGCGCAGCCTAGGAAAGTTCTTAAATTTTTGATTCTAGCCAGACCGTTCTTATTCCCACGCGCGGGGCGAGTCGAGTGACGTCATGTACATGTACATGTACATGTACATGTATTGTAGTACTTCTACACTAGTGGGTGTCGTAAAATTTAATAGGAATGACTGTACAATAGAAGTTACTGTTTACACGTGTACATGACATGTACTCACCTCCCATACATGTACAATGTATACAATTTTAAAAGTGTTCTTAAATCTGATAATTCTAGCCTGGACTGTTCTTAAATTTTGCCGGTTTTCCAGCCTGGGTGTTCTTCGGCGAGGTGTTCTTCGGCGCCCGATCTTACTGTAGTTGCCTGGACCCCAGGGCCAGCTCCAGTACACAACAACAAAAGAGCGCATGTGCTAAACATGATGGCCAGTACTCGTCCGCTTACTTGCAAACCGTATGCAGGCACTCTCTGAGAATAGCGCCTTCACCTGCCTCAGCCTCTACGAAGCAGATTGAGCAATCAAATGGTTCATGATTGACCACCAAACCGACTTCGTCAGTTTGCAATAGTGCCATGTAGTTGTGGTGTTTCTCTTCAAGCTGTCTCTTACGCTCCTCTTCCTCGGCCTGTAGCACAGAGGGAGAGAGAGAGAGAGAGAGAGAGAGAGAGAGAGAGAGAAGGAGAGAGAGAGAGAAGGAGAGGGAGAGAAGGAGAGAGCCCTACTTTGCGTACACCTCTCTGGTGGTCACATTGCACTGGTTTCCAGTGTAACCTATTTAACCATGTGAATCCTAAAGCTCTTCCCGGGATGGCAGTTGTGAGTTCAAATGTCAAGTCAAGTCAGCGGAAAAGGGCGACCTCCAGTGCGGGGAACAAACCCTTTCCTAATAATCATCGCCGAAGTCGATACCACTATTTCGTTTAGGAGAATCCTTCGAAACAAATAGTGAATGAATGAACTCTCGATACTGCATGTTATGACATCTAATACTTGTAGTACAGGGACAGGAGAGGCTTGGGCCACTGAGCTCTGGGCCACGGAGACAAGGAAGTGAGTACATGATTGTAGACTGTGTGTACACTGTACAGCTGGCATGGGAAGCCATGGGTAGGGGGGGGGGGGGGGCTTGTTACCATCTACCCATCATAAAAGTTGATTCAATTTGACTCGATGGTCATGACATTGATGGAATAGTGGTGTCCATGGTGACAGGGTGGTATCCATAGTGACAGGGTGGTGTCCATGGTGACATGGTGGTGTCCATGATGATGTGCTCACTTTGATGCACATGTACAGTCAACTTCGCTTATAACGACACTCGGCGAGGCATCAAAAAGGTGTCCTTATTTGCGAAGTGTCGTTATACCCGAAGTCTCATTATGTGTATAACAATGGGATGGGACTTTGCTCTGGGCATGGAAATTCTGTCGCTGTTCGCGAATTGTCGTTATATCCGCAGTCGTTATTAGCGAAGTTGACTGTACTCACTTTCTTGTACTGCTCTTCCGAGTGCTTGGCCATGGTCTGGATTTGCCGTTCGTCCTCGGTCATCTGATAATCGTCTGGAGGTTTGTAGTTTTCCGGTCTTGGCTCAGAGCATGCCGAGCAGCCAGGTCTGGTCGGAGGATTGACGAGAGTACATGTTGGACAACTCCAGCCAATCACTTCTTCCGCTTTCTTCCTTGCCGCTTCTTTACGCGCAGCTGCTTCTTGTAGCAAGTGTTGTTGTTGCTGAGCTGCAGCCAGATCAACACCCTGACCATGTTGCTGTCGCTGTACTGCGTGTTCCCTAGCAGTTGGTGCGGGTCGGGCATTCCGGCCTGCAGCAGCGCCTGGAAGGCCCTGACCACCATATGCCACTTGCTGGTGCTGGTGCTGCTGCCGCTGTCCATGATTAGCCAGTGGTTGATGATCACCATTGCCAGTCCCAGCAGCAGCACCACCAGCACCAGTAGCAGATGTGCCAGCATATTGTCCATGATATTGCTGGTACTGAGGATCATCGCCAGCGCCCGCATACTCTCGAGGATGTTGTCGGATTTGACCAGCGGCATTGGGATACTGTTGAGCATTGTGCAATAAGTGTTGCTGCTGCTGGTGCCGCTGTTCCAGCTGAGGCCGGTATTGACGGCTGTCATGTGGCTGTGCGTGCTGCTGCTGCTGTTGCTGTTGTAGTTGATTATCCTGCATCTGTCTATGTTGATAGGGATTCTCATCACGCCGTGAGGCGTGCGGATTTCCATTTGGGTGCCGTGCAGCAATGCCACCAGGCTGATCCTGGCGGAAATGCTGTTGCCGATGGTGCTGTTGGTCCTGTGGATGCTGTGGTGCTGCATGGTGGTAGGATTGATCATCTTGTGGTGATGCTGCATGCTGCTGTTGTTGCTGCTGACTGGCCCTCAATTTCACTTTGGCGTCACGATAGTCTTGTTGATGCTGCCCATGGCCGGCCAGTGAGTGTGAAGCTGGGTAACCCCCTGATGACTGCATTGCACCATGTCTCATCTGCCCTGGTCGCTGCGGCCCGTGAGGATCCTCTCCCATGCCCAGGCCACCTAGACTTAAGTCTTCCATATCCCGCCGAATGGGCAGCTCTTCGGCATGACTGTGATCGGCTGACATTTGTGACGCGGCGCCGAGACCGGCGTGATCCGGCGGCTGTGACCACCGCTTCGCTGTTGCTACGACATTGCCCGGTGTGCCTGCTGTATCCATAGCAACAGCTGTATGATCCTGCCTCCCTTGAGTGTGACGTGTAGTAGTGCGACCTGACTCATTGCTGGCACTAGTGCATGGCCTGGGGAAGTACAACACAAAACAACAGTATGATTGTATTCAAGTAAGTTGTTCGACTCTATTCTTCATGAAATTTAACTAGCTACGGTGCCGTAAAAATGTGTGTGTGTGTGTGTGTGTGTGTGTGTGTGTGTGTGTGTGTGTGTGTGTGTGTGTGTGTGTGTGTGTGTAGCTGTGCATGCTTGTATTGTGTGCTATTCGTGCATGGGAGAAGCAGTCTCTAAGACCATTCCCGTCACAGTGCTCATATTATCATCAGTTTCAGCTTCTGTACATGTACATGATACGGTATATCTTAGGTTTAGTTACCATGGTCACTGCCAGCCAAGTAGCGTATATGCGCAGGGGACATGACAACTTCTAAACATTTCATTTATTTCCCAACATTACGCTTGTACTTCGAAGTACAGATACTGTACTCGCTAAATAGAGCTCGTCCCTTCTCTTTCTCATTCTCTTTTTCTCTCTCTCTCTCTCTCCCATCCATCCGCCCGCCCATCCATCCATCCATCCATCCATCCATCCATCAATCTATCTATCTATCTATCTCACACACACGCGCGCACACACACACACACACACACACACACACACACACACACACACCGGCACTCTCTCTCTCTCTCTCTCTCCTCTCTCTCTCTCTCTCTCTCTCTCTCTCTCTCTCTCTCTCTCTCTCTCTCTCTCTCTCTCTCTCTCCCTCTTGAACAATACTCCCTCCCACCCGATGTAGGTCAAAGTAACAAGGCCTTCTCTTGAACAGTGCCCCCCCCCCCCCCCCACACACACACACCCCACTCCCCAGGATTCATGAGGTTGACTAAACATCGGTCAGAGATCACGTCGCTGTCGTAACCACGCCGACTTGACTTACATGGTCTGCAGATGACAGGTGATCTTAAGTCGCAGCGCAATGAGATCTTGCAGGGTGATCGTGCCGATATCCACGTTACCAGTGTTGATCGCTAGCTCCAGCCGCTGACACAACTCGATTCCTGCAACCACGCGAGCAATAGCCAGGGAAGCCACCAGAGCAAAAGCCAGGGCAGCCACCATTGCCATAACACCAGCAGCAGCAGCGGCGGCAACAACAGCACCAGCAGCAGCACCAGCAATGCGGCAGCAGCAGTATCCAAAGGGGAATTAGTAGAGGTGAATAGTGCTTGTGGTTAGATAACCATGAACCAGCGTGTTCACCTGCTGTCGAGGTTACCCTAAAAGCCAGAAAGCAAACGTTTGGATATAAGCGGATCGGAAACAGTGAGATTATACCAGCTCTCTTACACTGCTCAAACACTGCTCACTACCACACATTCTACCTCCATTACTCTGCTCACACTCTGCTCACTACCACACATTCTTTAGGCACCCAAGATGGCAGAGGTCGTATCTGTTCACGGGGGAGACAGATGAATCCCGGGACATACCACCCTGGGGCCTAATAAATTACAACTCCGAGGAGAGGGCAACTTTCTCTAGTTGTTGTTGTTTATTTTAGAGCAAAGAGGAAGAAATGTGTCATGCGCATGCGTATATCTGGTGAGGGAGCTGACGTCATGCAGCGAGGTCGCTACAATTCTACCTCCCTTACTCTGCTTGCATTCCGCTCACTACCACACATTCTACCTCCCTTACTCCGCTCACACTCTGCTCACTGCCACACATTCTACCTCCCTTACTCTGCTCACACTCTACTCACTACCACAAATTCTACCTCCCTTACTCTGCTCACACTCTGCTCACTATCACACATTCTAGGCTCTCGCACTCTTTCCTCTGTAGTCTAACATTGCTATGACTTTACCGTCTTGCTCCTCGATGGATAGCTGGCGCTGACCGGCAGCAGCTGAAGATTGCACATCATGGACAGTGTTGTCCCGCACCGCGGTACTAGCAGCGGTCTGATCCAGTGCAGGAGCGCTCTGCTGCCCGGCAGTGGCACCTCCAATAGTGTTCTCAGTTGATGACGTCAGCTGTTCCTCGGGCATGCCGTCTAATCTAAGCGATGCCATGCCGTGATCAGCTTGATGATGATCTGGATGATGCTCTTGATGATGCCTTGGCAACGTCACTTCGGACACGTCAGATGAATAGCGATCCTCGCGTCCACAGTTGCCCGGATGGTTGTTTTGCCGTCCCACCGTAGCAAAGAAACGCGGCTCCTCCATGAACGTTTGGACCGGCAGACTGGGCTGAGTCTTGGATATCGTGTCTTGGTGCTCCCCACGTGTCGGCAGCAAGTGCGTTGTCACCTTGCCAGACTGGTTCATGGGTCGTCCTGGTGATGGTTGTTCTGGCGATGAAACATGACCAGTGGGACCAGCACCTGCATCATCATCAGCAACAACAGCAACAACAGCAGCAACAACAGCAGCAGCAACAGCAGCAACAGCAGCAACAGCAGCAGCAGCAGCAGCAACAGCAGCATCATCAGCATCATCATCAGCAGCAGCAGCAACAGCAGCAACAGCAGCAGCAGCAGCAGCAGCAGCAGCAGCAGCAGCAGCAGCAGCAGCAGCAGCAGCAGCAGCAGCAGCATCATCATCAGAAAAAGCAGCAGCAGCATTATCATCATCAGCAGCAGCAGCAGCAGCAACAGCAGCAGCAGCATGCACACAAGCAACAGAGCAGGGAAAGCAATCATGCATGATCAGGGATGGCACTCACTCAGTGGTATAGACTAGCAATCATGCATGATCAGGGATGGCACTCACTCAGTGGTATAGACTGTATGACTGTACTGTCTTGTATTTTTTCTTTTCTATCAAACACAGCCCTACTAATAATCAGGGGAAGAGGACAACTGAAATGACACTGGACAACAAGACAAAGGGGAGTAGGGACGATGTGCCGATGTGGTTGGCGAGGCTCATCCGACCGGAGGTCTCGGAATCATAGCCTACGACCAGGCATCGATAGGAATGCAGCTAGGGAGGGAGGGAGATCAAGTGAGAGAGAGAGAGAGAGAGAGAGAGAGAGAGAGAGAGAGAGAGAGAGAGAGAGAGAGAGAGAGAGAGAGAGAGGGAGAGAGAGAGAGAGAGAGAGAGAGGGAGAGAGAGAGAGGGAGAGGAGGGAGGGAGGGAGGGAGAGAGAGAGAGAGAGAGAGAGAGAGAGAGAGAGAGAGAGAGAGAGAGAGAGAGAGAGAGAGAGAGAGAGAGAGAGGGAGGGAGAGAGAGAGAGGGAGAGGGAGGGAGGGAGGGAGAGAGAGGAGAGAGAGAGAGAGAGAGAGAGAGAGAGAGAGAGAGAGAGAGAGAGAGAAGAGAGAGAGAGAGAGAGAGAGAGAGCCACGAGAAAGAAATAAAATAAAACAAGAAAGAAATGAGAAGAGAAATAAAATAAAACAAGAAAGAGATGATGGACGAGGGTAGTTGCTCATTGACGGGTGACATAGCCTCACAGGGAGTCCGTAGCCCAGAGCCAATTATTTTGACGCAAGTGGCGATGGACCTTCGTCTTGAAGGATTGGAGAGATTTCAACTGGGGCACCGGATCCGGAAACATGTCTTGCGGAAGCTTGTTCCATTCATCCACTACACCATATGGGAACGAACGCTGGAGAAAGTTGGGGGCCGTAGGGAGGAGCACTGCTTGTAGCTGATGCTGGTGGTGGACACGGAGCTGCAACCTTGTCCGCGGGACGAGGCTAGCTTCCTGGCGAGGCGGCACGAGCGCAGAGAGGTCTGGATGGTCTTGAAGGCACATTAGCTTGTACATGTACGTGAGAGCGTACACTTGGCGGCGGGCAGCTAGGCTCTGCAGCAAGGCGTCAGGACCAATGATAGCAAGGGCCTTCCGCTGTACTCGGTGGAGACTTTGCAGGTGAGAGTTGGCTGCGCCCATCCATGTCAATGGTGCGTATTCGAGTACAGGGTGTACGAAGCCTCTGTACGTTGTCAAGCGTCCTTCACGACCAAGGAAACTTGATGCTCGACGCAGAAATCCTAGCCGGGCTACAGCACAAAGAGAAACATTGCGGAGATGGCGTCTGAAGGTGAGCTTGCTGTCGAAGGTCACTCCCAGGAGCTTCAGCTCGTCCCCGCGGGGAATATCATGGGCTCCGAACGTTAGGTCTGGGAGTGGCCAGGGGTTGCGGTGGTGGCCAATATGCAGCAGCTGCGACTTTGTCGGCTCAAAGCGAACTCGCTATTGTTCTCCCCAGCTACTCAATCTATCCAGGCTAGATTGCATTTCTGCAATACTGCCAGCAGAGTCATCTCTGGATCGTATGATGGTGTACAGTGTGGTGTCATCTGCGTACACACCCATTCGCGTTGACGGGGAAAGACAGGTCTCAGCATCGTTGACATACATCAAGAATAAGGTGGGTCCCAGGATGCTGCCTTGGGGTACGCCAGCTTTAATCTGGAATTGAGCAGATTCCTGTCCATTGACGATTGCGCTTAGTGTGCGATTCCGTAGATAGTCCCGTAGCCACTGCAGCAGGCCACCGCCAATACCGAGAGTGGCCGCTTTGTGTAGGACGCCGGAGTGCGACACGCGGTCAAACGCACCAGCAATGTCGACAGCCAGGACGTGGGCACAGCCACCAGAACCAGCTGCCTGCGACCAGTCATGCCCAAGCACTGCTAGTAGGTCCGCTGTTCCAAGGCCACTGCGAAATCCATACTGCTTGGTTGACAAGAGATGATGTTTTTCATGGTGATTCACAATTTGACAGTTCACAATACGCTCCATCACTTTGGAGATGATGGGGAGGAGGGAGACTGGGCGGTAATTCTTAGGATTGGATAGGCTGCCCTTCTTGTAGACTGGCACAACTCGAGCACTCTTCCAAGCCTCTGGCTGAACACCCTTACGGAAGCACAGGGCGAAGAGAGACGTGAGAGGCAATGCAAGTTCATGGGAGCACTCTTTGAGCACTCGGGCAAGGATGTTGTCCGGACTGGACGCCTTGCCAACGTCGAGCTGGTTCGGGAGGTGTTTCACTGTTTGCAGGCGGAAGTGGATTCGGCTAAGTGGGGTGACCCCGGGTTGGCGAGCATGAGGGAGATCCCCCGGGCCCAAGTCATCATCTCCAAGGCTACATTTATTGGCGAAGTAGCGACCAAGGCAGTTCGCTTTGGCAGCATTCATACGGAGTTGGTGACCAGCGTCATCCACCAAGCATGGTATAGACGAGCCATGACTGGCGCCAGCAGCAGATTTGAGCACCGACCACCATTGCTTGTCTCTCAGGCCTCCGCGTGACAGTTTCCGACGAACTCTCAGTTCCCAGGATGTGCGAGCTCGCACATTCGCGAGGATAGCATCTTCTACTGAGCGCATGAAGCAAGCCTTGTGGGCTTGAATAGAAGCCTGGTTTGAATAGACGCCTAGCCCTGACATTGGCTTCAACGGGAATAAGCCCGGCCTTTTAATACGCGACATTACGGCATCCACATTCTCATCATTGGTCAACTAGCACTGGGTCAGTGCAGTTCTGTCGGGCGCAGAACAACGGAACGTCGAAGAATGAACCGACTAGAACGTCACCAAGCACAGCATACCGCAGGGAATTTTCTAGAACCGCCCCAACCGGTTTTCGACCGGTTGAAATTGTTGGCGACCGGTTGAAAAGTCACAAATCAGTTCCAACCGCCCGTACTTTTCTGTGGGTGAATGGGGCTGCTTATATCTTTGCTACACTTCAGCACCAAGAAATCTGTTAAATTGCTGTCGAGTGCCATATTTGGGTTGTATTTTGAAAAAAATTCCGGGGGGACCCCCGGACCCCCCAACTCTTCATTGGACCGTAACCGGTTGGAAATTCGTCCTAGAATATACCCTGTACCGATATAAACGCGCTGACTCCACTACGCATAGACTGCAGTGCATGAACAATATGAACGGTCCCCCCCCCCCCCCCCCCCCCCAGTTCTTCAGCACCCGGCAGTGCAGTATACCTGTTGGTGCTGATGCTGGTGGCATAGGTCGGGGATGCTTTGCCTGGTCGATGAACAGCTCCGCTTCGCTGGCGGACTGAAACTTGAATCCGAAGAGTTCCTCACCCCGATCTCCACTGCTGGTGGTCAGCTGACAAAACGACGGGTCTTGCAACTGCTGGAAATCACCCAACGGGCTAAAACCGGGAGCGTCAATGATAACCTGCAGAGTGGAGACAGAAAGGAAAAGAAAGAAGAAGAAAAAAAACAGTTTGAAAACACCGACACCCCTCATACCCATCCAAAGGTACAGTGATACTCAATGGCATCCGGTCAAGTACGCCATGCCACGCCGGGCGTTGCGCAGCCCTTGACCTGCGAACACTGGGCTGCGAAATGATGCAACGGGCGCAAACTGGAGCGACACAATTGGATTTCATTGAGCAGCACTGTAGTATGAGGCATGGTTGTGTCAGGGCGTCGGCGTCGGATCGCGCAAGGTATTCTACATCGGTGCGGCCATGGAAAGGCAGGGGTCCCGGGGGCCGTGTCTCGGGACCCTTTTAGGAAACTTGGGCCCAAATGGCCCACATTTCATTGCTCCAGAAATCACAGGATAAAATTATTGGTGCGACTTTGACTGCACGTGACGCAGCGCCGGTTCCGATGCCCCTGTGCATAGGGTGGGATGTTGAACAGTGCATCCTTGATCCCAGCATACTGATGTTGAACAGTGCATCCTTGATCCCAACATACTGATGTTGAACAGTGCATCCTTGATCCCAGCATACTCAATCACATGCATGCATTCCGTATCACTGGCCGAATGCACGGTGGGCTTAAAATCCGTTGGAACAGCAACTCTGCCTGTAGATCAGTCTCAGATGTCCAGTGCATGTGTATGTTGGTCTGTGTCGAGACAGCCTGGCTATGGTGTCCAACTAGCAGGATGCCGGGAAAGCAGGTACATGCCGTACAAGCCTGACGGAACCGGTCCGGTTGCTCTGGCCATGGCCGGATCAACTCATTGACCACCAACGTGTGTTTACCGTGCTGAGGAGGCTATGTCCACCTGTCATACTGGGGCGTCGGAACCGGTGCGGCAGGTCCGGCCAAAGCCGCACCAATAATTTCATCTTGTGATTATTGAAGCAATGAAATATATTATGGGCTATTTGGGCCCATTTCCCTAACATTTTTTACGGGGGAGGACCCCAGACCCCCACCTACTCATGCAGCCGCACCAATGTCAAATACCTTCCGACGCCCCTGGTCATATCATACACAAGATGTATGAAAGACTATGGTGTTGCCGTCGGACCAACCAAAAACGGCTTCTGCCGGCCTTGTATAGCATGTAGTACACCCGATGATAATGTGATTCTGCTTTTCACGCTGCCTTGTGAGCACACGCCAATACCATGGATGGCTTACAAACATGTCAGTCAGGAATATGTAACTAGGTATGTAGCCATGCTATACAGAGCACTGATGATGTTTGCGCCCCAAACACATGTACGTGCAGGAAGTAGTACCTCCGATCCTGGTCTAATGCCGACACTAATTTGTCATGGGATATCCGCAGTCCGGTGATATCAGTGGATGCAGCATATTTCCCAGTAAAATCATCAAAATAATGTTTTGCCAACTGGCAAGACTCGCGAGCAAGAAATCAACACGCGGCATGCATGCGATATAGCCAAGACTAGAATCATCAGCGCACCTAGTACTGCCTGGTGCCTGACCCCAACTTCCCAAGCTACTCGTACGAGTACCCCGTGCATTACCTGTCCTGTGGTGGAGTTGCGCGCTATCAGGAACGTTGTCGCTCCATAGGTCTCCACGTAGCGTTGCTGAGCGGTGATTGTGCATGGATTTCTCTCTGCTTTCGGCACCCATTGTGCAGTGGCTGCGGACCATTGGAACACCAGCACTTTAGGGGAGTGAGCAACACCAGCCATGCCGGTTCAAAACCTCAGCAGGTCACACAGCAGAAATCACAGATGGCTTGAATTGTGGACTTGTCGAACTCAGCGATAACCAGACGATGCGTATACGTATATCAGCCTACGAAGAAGTGCCGTGCTAGCGAACACAACCAGCATCACAGACAAGACTCGATCTAACTGAAGCCATGGAGGTTAGCGTTGTTGCTGCAAGGCCGAAAGTTTTCTTGCTTTCGTCAGTTTCGACTGCTGTGCGGGTACATGTATTCTGTTGGCGTTTGCGGAACATGCATCGGAAAGCAAAGAGCTGGATGGAGCACGCCACGCGGAGCTGCATGCACTTGTCAGTGTCAATGACTACGTCACAGAGCTAGAGCCAGACCGCTTCAATTCACGGGGCTCGGTGCGGTGTTTCCCCTTTCACTGTTTCAGCCAGCCTTCAGAAGAACGGTATCCATGGTCGAGCATGGTGACCACCATGATTTTTTTTTTTTTTTTTTTTTTTTTCGATAGTGAGGAAAATGTTATCAACTCCAAAGCACGAAAAAGGCCAAAAACTAAACCAAGAACATATGCAATAACATGTTATTTATAAAGACAGGACAAGTGAATAATTAGTCAGTCCATTGTTCATGATGATCTCCGCCGGTTACGTCGGCAAGCGAGCCTCCGCCACTGCCAAAGCAGCGTGGGCTCCGCAGGAGGGTGCAAATTTCAAACCAAAATTTAAACGCCTACAACCGCGAATGCACACGATACAGGATTTCAGAAGGCTGAAGGAAATCCTGCATCTAACAAATGCCATAACATGAGAGTAATGCTCACCCCTCTTCTCCGCCAACAGATGAGCAATACGTTTGTACAGTGCTGTTGATGCCGGACCCATTCCGCCACTGGCTGACATGACCGCCGGAACAAAGGAGGCTTGCTCAACCTGCCTCACCCGCTCCTCATAGTGCCTTCTCTTTTCTTTTTCATGTCGCTGATACACAATAGTATGTGGTGCAGATCGATTTGAGCGTGAGTGAGGATTAAAAACCCGTATATCAATAAGTGTACGCTCAAAACGACTGCCCCACAAACCATTGGCAGCGACATCCAACCGGGCACGGTCTTCCACATTTGCGGTCCGGTAGCGAAGACGCTCCCCCGTCAGCGGTTGCAGCAAGGGCTCGATGGACACACTGGTGCACACCTCGTCCAGCAGCCGGGCCGTGACGTCCCGAATACCATTGTGTCTAATGGAGGGAAACCCTCCATAGGGGCACGACAGGGAATGCGCGACAGTTGCCTCTTGGCCGCAAGAGCAGTGTGACGGTACCCTGGCCGGTGTCCATCCGTAACGGAGGCAGAGTCCGTCCCAAAACTCTCCCTTTGTTAAATTAAAATGATATTTCTTAAGTGGACGGCACGTCAGCCAGCTCGACGACCCTTTCTCCTTCGCGACGTCTATGACATGTCGTAGCGACTCCGACACACTGCCCGATATCGCGTCGAATTCCAGTTTCTGATGACGTCGAGAAGATGCCTTGGCGTCTCTCTTGGCCGATCTGATTAACACTACCGAGTCACCGATGGAGCCATCCCCTGACAAGATTCTCCGAGACAAAGGGTTGGTCATCCGAACCGACGAGTCGTATTGTTGGCATAGGGACACAGGGTTAATCAAACCGAGCCCACCCAGACGACACGGCAAAGCCATAAGCCGTCGGAGAGTGTCGCCTGGGGGTGCACGGCAAGTTAAGGCTGTAGTAGAATACTACGGACCTGGCTCGCTCACACAACGTCGTCTGGAGAGTCTAACTCAAAAACTAATCTTTCATGGATATGTTATGCATTATATCATGTCATGGACTACGGAGCTTAGGCTAGGATCAGTACGGTGCTTGCACATAACAGACAGCAGGCTGACCAGGAATAGAAAGCTACATTACACAATGTATCGGCAAGAACATCAGCAGACCTAATCAACCATAATCAACTATATTTCTAAGGGGTCGTCACAAGGAGGGAAATCTGGCGACCATCTGGTGGAATAGCGATACCTACACCTACATAGAACACCAAACAATGCACATCTATGGTTCTAATCTAGCACAAGCACGGCAGGGCATGTACCTGTCAGCAGTACGTAGTACAGTCATAGTCATACATAGATGTACCATGCAACTGAGTTACTCGCTAGTCAATGCAGGACATGCAAGGATGGCACCTTGTCCAGTACAGTACAATCACACCCCTCTCCTAGGTGACATCTCCACTCGACTCTAGCCATTGTATCTAGCTGGACGCGCCAAGGTTCCACGGTCACGTAGGTCATAAGCCGGTGCAGGGCGATCGTCGTCGTCGTCCGCTGGCTCCGGCTGGTCAAGCCACATCTCACCATCACCGTCGTCACGCCCATCGTCGGCGCTCGTGTGCGCCTGCTCCGTCGCTCCTGGACGCGGAGCACCATCCTGCTTGGCACTCTGTGGGTGTCGTACGTCAGGCTTGAGAAGGTTGATGTTCACGACTTTCTCCCCGCCATCATCTCTGGTGATGACTACTGTCGACGGCGCAATGATCTTCTTCACTTTCCAGCCGCACTGGTATGGCGGAGTCAACTTGCGTCGCCGGCCAGGCTGTTTCAGCATCACACGTTGCCCCTCTGTGTAGGGTGCCTCGAACTTGGTGATTGGCTTCTCCGGAGTCGTAGCAGCAAGCTCCACCTCCACGTGGTCGCGGACCCTTGCTGCTGTCTCGCCAACTCGGTCAACCCACTCGCTCAGTAGGGCTTCTGGTTCCTCAGCCTCGATGATCAGCTGGCGCGGCTGCCATGAACACATGGCCAGCATCGGCGGTATGGCTGTCGTGGTGTGTGGCCTCGTGCGGTAGTAGTAGAGCAGCAGATCCAGCTCAGTTTTCCAATCTGCTGCTTCTGTGAGGACCTTCCGCATCAGCGTGATGATGGTCCTGTTTGCCCTCTCGACACCTCCCTGCGACTGCGGGTGACGTACGGCCCCTGTCTTCACACGCACGCCGAACCGTACGAAGAGAGCTCGGACAACGGCGTTCTTGAACTCGGAGCCATTGTCCATACGGACTTCGTCTGGCGGGCCCCAACGGCAGCAGAGGCTGGTCAGCGCTTCTGCAACACTGATCGCATCGTGCCGCCTGAGAGGGATTGCCTCGACCCACTTCGTAAACACATCCACGCACACCAACACGCAGTGGTACTGACCGGATTTCTCCTCTCCCAGGTGAAGCGTGTCGATCTGAACGACACTCCACGGCCGCCCAGGCAAGTCTGGCTGCGTCGGCGGCGCTGCGGGTCCTGCGTGGCTGCTAGCGGCTGCACACTGTCGGCACTGGTCACAATACTCCCGGCACCTAGCCGCCATGCTGGGGAAGAAGCAACGTGCGCGGAGCATGTCGTACATCACACTCCAGCTGGCATGCCCGGACATCACGTGGGCCGACTCGAGAACGCTGTGCTCAAGGCACTCCGGAACGATCGGCACAGTGACAACGCCGAGTGCAGGCAGCTTGAGCGTGCGGCTCAGCTGGCCGTCCTTGATGACGAGCTGTTCACGAATCTTCCGGTAGGTGGCGTGCTGAATCTCGCTGGCGCTCTCGATAGCACTGACCAGCGTCTGAATCAACGGGCACTTCCGCTGGGCATCACAGACGTCGTCACAGCCAATGACGGTCGCCGGCTGCTTCATTGCCATGGACGCGGCAACTTCCGGAGATTCGTCGCTCTCGGGAACGCGAGCTATTTGCAGCCACTTCTTTGGGACACGGGTCAGTCTGTCAGCGACATTCTCGTTCGTCGGTACCCAGCCAACTGTTACCTTCAGGCCAGCCGTTGCGACTAGGTCTTCAATGATGTCCAGACGGCGCACAACGAGAAGCTTGTGGAGGCCAGTGACCCTGACTCGTCTGACGTTCCCGAGGACCTGCGACACCCAGCCTGCAACCGCCTTCGAGTCAGTCACTAACGTCACCTTCTCCACCTTGTACTCCGCGGCGAGTGTTAGCGCCCTTAAGACGGCGTCCAGCTCGGCAATGTTAATGTGTTTGTGGTCACGTGGCTCGCGCAGCCACGAGCAGTCTTCGATCGTAGTACCATCGTGATGCAGGGAAGCTCCAATGGCGACGTCCGACGCGTCGCAGAACACGGTCCAGCCGTCGCTATCCAGCGATGGAACACGCCACGCACCTCTTGCAGGGTCTGACTCCCGGACCATGTCGGCCAGCTCTGCGCAGCACCTGGCGACCGCTTCTGGCACGGCGTCATCCCAGCCATCAGCTGAGCAGGCCTGTCGCTTCAACCACGCACATGCCGGGCGGAGCCACGAGCACACTGGGTAGTGGCTAGTCAGGCGTCCCGTCCACTTGAAGACCTCACGCTTCGTCAGCGGCTGTTCGAAGCCAAGGTTGACACCTCCTCTACGAGCCCAGTTGACCGTGCCGTCACTTTCCTTTGACAGTTGGAGACCGAGAACTCTGGCCGCGGTGAGCGGTTCTGCGGGCTTGGTCGGCAGACCGTAGCGGTGAAGAGCGGACGTCACAGCTTGCTCTTTCGCTCCCGGAACGAGCACATCGTCGACGTAGCTATCAACATCCTGCCACTCTCGGGTCACCCAGCGGACGATGATGTCCATCACCTTGGGCGCGACGGACAGGCCGAAGCCCATCCTCGTCATTACGTACAGCTTTTCTCGCCAAACGACAACCTGGTAGCGGGCGAGCGACGGGTCTACATGAACCTGGAGATAGGCCTTCCTGATGTCGATTAGCTTGCACTCTTGATCGCCGGCCATGCGCCACTTCCGCAGTTTATCGGCGCAAACGGGCGCCTCGGTCCCCGGATTGGATTTGATGACACCGTTCAGTGCTCGGTAATCTAGACACGGCCGGACTGGGGTAGAGGCTTTGTGTTCTTGGACCTTGGCTAGCAGAGGCAGGATAGCTGCCGGTTCCCCGTGTACGGATGGGTCGTGCTCCACCAGCCAGCCGTTCTCCACCCAAGCATCGACTTCGGTACAGAAGCTGGCTTCCTGCTCCGGCGACAGCCGCTTCCGAGAATACTGTCCGATGCCGGAACCGATCTGTTTGGTTGGCGGTTCATCATCAGCCCACATCCATCGCACGATCCAGCGCTGGCTTGCGCTGTCCCACCGGACCTCGCTGTCGTCCGTTCTCAGCACCACATCCTCTCCGTCCTTGCTCACAGTCACGTGCCGAGAAGGGTGAGCGGCCGGCACTGTCGCCGCCACGATGGCAGGA